GGGGGGGGGGGGGGGGGGGGGGGGGGGGGGGGGGGGGGGGGGGGGGGGGGGGGGGGGGGGGGTACGTGGTAGCACAATGATAGGGGGGTACGGTAGTGCCACTTCCGATCGATGCCTCGCGCCAGAATTGAGAAGATTAGTGGCCTTTCTGGCAAAACAAGACGGGTGGGGGGAAGCAGTCAAGTACGCCAACAGCGCCGAATAAGCCAACAGCCGCAAACAAAACTCCACCGCGGGTTAGAAGGAGGGGGAGCGCCGTCGATGCCAACACCACAGACACACATACACATGCCTGCCCCATGACGACCCCTCACGGGGTCCCATTCAATGGCATTTACAATTGATTTGTGTTTTCAACCGCACCGAGACTGACGTCTTTTCATTGGCCAGCCGGTCGGCGCGGTCGATGCCAACAACACAGACACACAGACATAGGCGAAAACCCACCTGTACTTCCGGCTGCACGTAGTAGTAGTAGTAGCTCAGGAAGTGTGACCGCTGACTTCTCACGACGGTGATGTAGTTTATTCTCTCCCCCTCCCGCATGATCTTCTCGTACATGGCCTTCGCCTCCGCCCACCTCCCATCGAAGGAGCCGTAAGTGGTGTAATGGTAGTGCATCACATCCACGCGCTCGCCGCTCTCCTCTATCTGCGGGGGGTCAAGCAGCCAGCCAATCAGTGGGGGCGGTGGCGAGAGAAGGTATAACATGCCGTAGGACTGCTGTCATGAGGGTCCAAGAGCGAAGAGGAGAAGCCTCTTGTTGATGTGATTTGTGATTGTGATTGTGATTGTGATTGTGATTGTGCGTCGGCACAAAGTTTGTCGGCGAGAGGACAACGAACACCCAGTGACAAACCGCCGACCTCGCTTCCTCTCAGTTAACTTCACAAAAAAACGCATCTCGTCCTTTCATTGCAATAAAAAAAAAACTCCAAACATCCGAACTCAATATTTTCAAGGGCGTGTTTAGTACAGTATAGTATTTTTATTCCAGTATTGAAAGCTGTACTAAAGCGTGCAGTACAGTACAGTACCGAACGCCGTCCTGCCAGTACAGTATATTCCAGTATCGAAAGCTGTACTAAAGCGTGCAGTATTTTTATTCCAGTATCGAAAGCCGTACTAAAGCGTGCAGTATTGTATTCCACCAGTATTTTGCAAGCAACTAGGCGCTATGTACGCTGTTGGAATGCCCCCCCCCCCCCCCCCCCCGCCCGAAGCTCCCCCGCCCCGACCCTCTGTCTTGGCGGTTATGACTACTCAGCACCGGAAAGCATTTTCAACCTCCAAATCCTAATCCTCCTACACTGATGACTACCCATCCTCGATATCGCCAACAGCAGACATGTCGGGAGGCGTCTTGTTTTCCAGCGGATCAAGCGCCATCTCTGCGTTGAGTAGATCTTGGTTTGTTCCCTTGAACCTCGCAGGGAGACACTCCTTGATGCTGTTCGACTCGATCCTGGGGATGTCGTCGTACTTGGGAATACAGTGCATGTTTACTTTGAGGAACAGCATCATTTCCACCCAGTACTCGTCTGAACGACTGCGATTTGAAGCACAAAGAAGACCGCAGGTGCCAAAGTCTCTCTCGATCTGAGCGGCAGAGGCTTGACTGCCGAATGTCTGCTGCGCGACATACTTCAGATTGGGGAATGCATGCCACTCGCCGCTCCCGCGGCGGGACCAACTGCGGCGTCACTCATCGTTGCCTAGTGGCTGCGGGCCACTGCTCGAGCACCAGTAGTGCCAGTTCAGCAGTAAACTGCACACGGCAGTACTCGCTCACTCGCCGCTTGCAGCAGGAGTGGGACTGTAGGACTAGACCAATTGGACAAGAGTGTCCGGCATTTCTGCCAAAAGATGACGTCACCAAAACGCCCTTCGGTGGATTCGGGTAGATACCGGGTAGATCGGCCCGTACAGCAGTGGGTACTGCCCGTACTGGGTAGTACTGGATATTCCAGTATCGAAAGCTGTACTAGAGCGTGCAGTACAGTACAGTACCGAGCGCCGTACTGCCAGTACAGTATATTCCAGTACCGAAAGCTGTACTAAAGCGTGCAGTATTTTTATTCCAGTATTGAAAGCTGTACTAAAGCGTGCAGTACAGTACAGTACCGAGCGCCGTCCTGCCAGTACAGTATATTCCAGTATCGAAAGCTGTACTAAAGCGTGCAGTATTTTTATTCCAGTATCGAAAGCTGTACTAAAGCGTGCAGTATTTTTATTCCAGTATCGAAAGCTGTACTAAAACGTGCAGTATAGTATATTATGGCCAAAGGTACTTCAATACTGAAAATACTGGCAGTATCGTACTGTACTAAACACGCCCTTGCGGATATTTCATATCTCCAGTGGCTGTACGTGGTAACGGTGGCGCGCATCGCCTTCTCTGTTTTCTCCACCTGCTCCCCAGCAAGAATCGCAACAAGAACCTCTCGCGGCTTGTCGAAACGAAGAGCAATAGCTTACATGCATCCCTAGCCATTCCTTAACCCAAGATGTTACTACCCGCCAATGTGTCAACCGGGGCACCGGGAAATCAACCTTCAAGTACCCCTCCACATCTCTCCCAGATGCTATCGCGCCAAAACGGTCCATCCTCGCAAGACTTGATGAATTGTTGGTGCTCACCTGTTGCACGGCTTCCGTGAGCGGGATTGCTGAGACGTGGTTACCTCCAAACGAGGCAAGCTGCGGAATCAAACCGGGGCGGGACGGGAGAAAATACGGGACGGAACAAACACACGGGACGAGAGAAAATACGGGCAGGGAGAAGAAACACGGGAAGGGACAAACTAGTGAGTGACCGGTGTCGGGACGGCAGTGTCACACCGAGCGAACGATGGCACAAGTGGGTGGTGTCAGGGGAGTATCAAACATCAAAAACTTCAGGCAAGTCAGCGCTGAGTCACACGTTCGATTTCGGCTGCCAAAGGAGACTGGCGTAGGAAATCAACAGTTAAACATGCTGTTCCCGGCCTGAAAACAAATTTTACACCAAGGAAGAGGAAGACTTGGCAAATCAAGACAAAGGGGGACGAAAACCCAGGCAGAAAAAAAAAACGCAGCACACAAAACACTAGCATGTCGGAGGAGCCCGATGACAAGATAAGAGAGACCGCTCTTTGTAAGGAAATAGAGGCATGCGACAATCAGATAAATCCTATCCGTTCGTAACATAGACCACTGTCGAAGGGGGGATAGGTTGAAGTCTTTTAGAGCGAACCTTACCGTCCCGCCCACCGTCGGTTGTGCTTGCGCAGTCAGAAAAAACTTCGAGGATCACACCCGAACCCCGCCCCCACACACCTTCATGTCGTGTCGACGCGCGTACCGCACGAGTATCATCGCCATGGTCGTCGACGCCGTCTTGTGGGTCTTGGCGAAAGCTAGATTACACGCCTGTTCCGATGATTTCGGGGCGGGCGGGGGGTGGGTGTACCCACGTAAACGCATGCCGATGTAATTCGACCATTGGCCTCGCATGCCGGGACCGGGCGACCTGCCGGGTTTTCGCCGGCCCAGGCTACGTTATCACAAGCATGAACCAGCAGCTGGCCATCGCCCTTGCCTTTGCTGTGCCAAACCAGACAAGCCATGGTGGGCGCTGGCGAAACCCTTTCGATCAATGGCGGATACAGTATCAAGGGGGGAGTACCCCGGATGACAAGATCTTGGTGACTACAATTACACTGCGCTAGCCAGGACGACGACTAAACATGTCTCATGTGTGTATATGCATATGAGTTTCCTTAACAAGCATGGACCGCGCTGCAGAAGCCGGCTGACCGACGAAAGACGCCAGTCTTGTAGCGGGATAAAAAAAAAAACTCGAACAGCTTCTAATCCAAGGGGAAGGGTTCAACATTCGTAGCTACATAGAGCCCGCTAACCGGCGGAGAAACAAAAAGATGTCAGTCTCAGAGCGGCTGAAAACACACAAAAAAAATGTTTTTGAAAGGCCATGGTCTGGGACCCCGTGAGGGGGCGTCAAGGGGGAGGCTATGCTACTCTCCGGATTTAAGGACAGATACCGTAACGAGGCCTGTCTGTGTGGAGGGGTGCGGCGCGTTACCCAGCGGGCACCTGTTGTCCCGTTGCCGCCGCGGTCTCCTCGACTAGCCCGTTGAGGTAGGCTCGTTCTCGAGATAGCTCCTCCATTTCTTCCGCTGAAGAAGAGCACGGGTTCCGCAAACACACAAGACGACACCCAAGGGCAAGGGGAGGAACCATGATTTGTATCATGTAAAGATGATTCACATCGCACATGAGAGAGAGAGAGAGAGAGAGAGAGAGAGAGAGAGAGAGAGAGAGAGAGAGAGTGGGAGACATGGGCGTAGACATAAGACGTGAGAAATAGAGATCGAGACGTAAACAAGGAGAGCATGACCTTGGGGCGAATCGAAATAAGCACCACCATGGTACGCCAGAGCAAGGGAGAGAAGACACCGCGACACGGCAAGCAACAAGCGAGCAACGTACGAGCGACGCTGACAGGACGAGGCACAAAGCGACAACAAATCAAAATAGCAACAGCACAGAGAAACGAGAGAAGGTACGGGGGAGGGAGAGTGGCAACAGACAAGACAACACTTGTGCTAGCGCGGCCAGGAAGACAGAAAAAATAAAAAGAGAAGACCCCCCACGAAACCGTGCCGGCATAACAGAGGCAAGTGTTTCGACGCGAAACTTGCCAAGGTATGACCACATGATATCGATATCTGAAAGAACAAAGGCATCACTGACACAGTTGCCGAGTATTAAGCGCCACCAAGATTAAGTCGCACTGTAATCACAAAGGTGTAGCACGGAGAGTAGAACCGATGAAGTCATCACACAGGCACCGCACGGAAAAACTTGCTCAAAGTTCAGAGCTTAGCAAGCACACTACACGATACAGCAGTGGGTGGGGCAGCTAATGATGGTCGCCCTTTCATAGGGGCAGCCGCCTTACCCAGTGTGTGGAACAACTTGACGCCAGCCAATCTCTCACCCGCCTAAAGCGACCGCCTTGTGAAGCGAACACCATTCGGGGACCTCTGCTGCACGAATACACCATACATGTATTGTTGCGTCACGCCAAAAAAAAAGCAACGTATGCATAAATAAACCCCACCAGTGAACTCCGGAGGCATGGCATCCAGCGGGACTCCCCAGTCCCACGCTTGTTCCTCTGTCCGGGCCCACTGTACCGACCCTTTCCCCGCCCCCACCCCTCCGCTGAGCTGGGCATCCAGCCGTCGTCCGCGACCGCCCGTTCGTCGTTGTCTTGGTCTTGGTCTGCCGATGTGCTCTTCGCTATACAGGTTGTTGCTTCCGTATCCCTCGCCAAAGTTTGTTCTGCTATCTGCTGGAGGGGGCGGCGGGGGATATGCGCTGGGGTGGGGGTCCCGTCGCCGATCTAGCGGCCCCCACCCTGCAGGGAAAAAACATAACAACAATCGCAGGGGAGAAGAGGCTGCTCGGGTAACCGTAGAAACACAAGTTGGTCATCATACATCGCTATGAATGCTAACCTATCCTATCCCGGGCTGTTTATCCGTGGAGGAGTCGGGGTCGTTGTGCCATGGCAAGACAACAAGACAAGACATGAACGAAGAACAACAACAACGACGACGACGACGTCTGCAGCACTTGGACCAGTGCGGATGCTTGAAGGCGGTACTCGAGTGGATATCGGAACGGGTATTGATGTGAACGCAGACACAGAGCACACAGGCTACCCTCGTCTCTTCGTCGACGCCCACCAAGGACAGGCTACCTTCTCGCTAGAACGAGAGCGACACCGTGGCACTGATCACCCTCCACAGGGGACACAGGGGATTGCGTCGCGCTAAACGTTACTATCGGGTGTCCCGCTGATGGGATGTGGTCGCCGTGTTCCAGCCCAACTGAGGTTCGGCAAACAACCAACATCATCAAAGTTGGCGATGAACTTACTTCACTGCACGCAGAACAAGCACACAACGCCGCCCCGACAACCCGTACACGTACAGAGGAGTTTTCCACAACACTACCAAGGGTGCATGAGATATTACACACCCTGGACCGATTTTCAAAGCTCGACTACTCCACGACGACGAGGATGCCGAGATTGAAGTATTCGCTTTCGGAAAGCTCTCGACGAGACGGTTCCAACGCCGCCATTTTCGGCACAGTCACAGCTTTTCCTGCCGAGATATCGAGCTTCGGAAATTGGTCCAGGGGATGTGATATCTTGTGCAACCTACTGTGCGGTACGCACGCCGCAAAAAAAAACATCTTCTCGCCCGCTGCAGGGGTACAGTGACGTGCTGACCCCCCCCCCCCCCCCCCCCCCCCCCCCCCCCCCCCCCCCCCCCCCCCCCCCCCCCCCCCCCCCCCCNCCCCCCCCCCCCCCCAAGCCTGGTCCAGTGAGAACCTGGCGTGCTCCGCCCCGGCTTTGTAGGGATGCGAGGTCAATGGTCTAACGACTACGGCGTGCATGACTATGAGTACACCCCGCCCCCGCCCCCGGTTTCGTCGCACCTGACTCCCAATCTCTCCGCAACTCGTGCCCGCTTGTCGCCACCAGCCCAGCCGATGCTCCTTCTCCTGACGCTTCCTCAGCTCTTTCCTGAGGCAAAAAAGAAGGAGCCACAACAAGGAAAGGAGGAGTTCCGGTCATTGAATAGGCTTGTTTGTGTCGAGGCGTGCGGCTGAGAGAGCCCATGCCCAATCTGTTGAAGAGTCCGCCGCTGCCGCACACTGTGCTGGTGTTGAAACACAACGAGAGCCCGGGACGGCTTGCGTGGAAACGAAGGAAGGGAGGGCACCGACGTGCTATTTATTGCCGTGTAGAGAGGGACCATCAGGAGGGAGAAAAAGAGAGGGTGGCATGGTGATGACGACGTGCTGTCAAGTGCTGTGTAGGGAGAGCACGTATAGGGGGGATTTAGAAAGGATGGCATGGTGATGAAAGACTACCGTCGTCTGCGTACGTTTGGTCATTTCGTAATTCCATTACTTTTCTCAATACTGTATTCTGTGCGCTTATTTGGTAGATGTTTGACGAACCAGCTCGGCGCCCACACAGACGGGAGTAAATGCTGTCCACTTTCCCTCCTGCGGTGCCTGCGTTCCAGCTGATACGAGGAAATGGTTCTGCACTTCCTTTCCCCTTTGTTGTTTGCATGTGTGCTTCTTCGATTGACACCGATCGGGACAATAGGCTGACCAACGCAAAGAAGCACGTCGAACACCGGGATAGAAAACACGAACAATCTTACTAAGCACTACTGGTTGCCCTCTAGCTCCGAGTCGTTCTGGACCTCTCTCCGCCACCTACTATTGCTGTTAAGGTCTACATTAAGTACTCCCGTTCTGCCGTCGTCGACGGACGTATGGAAGATCCGATGTACAGAGCGAAAGAGTGAGTCTCCTAATCTTTTCCACACCATGTGTTCTACCTTTATCTCTCGAGACTTGCACTCCTTCAGAATCATGGCTTCGACATCCTTGACTTCCCTTGACTTCACTCCTTATCACGATTAGCATGCGAATCGACAAGAGGAGTCTTCTCTCGCTTGACAGCGAAAAACCACACAGCTGTGTGATCGCATAGCTTCTGTGTGCCCAGCCTTCCTTCCCCTTGAGTGCCCCGCCCGGCCCCAATGAATCTCTCGTCATGTTCATCACTTTGCTCTTCCCTCTCCAAGTCCTTCTTCCTTCCATCACCACCACCTCTTGCACTGGATTATCTCCGGACACAGCAGCCAGGAGAAGGCGCCACCTCTACTGGTTCAGCTACCTCCTTCGCTGGCCTTAATCAAACTCGGTGCTGCTGGGAACGCCCCTCGCGTCTTGTGTTCAGCATCCTATTCATTCTGGGCGTCAACTCATTGTTCATATGTTAATGTACTTTTTCTGTGCACCGTATTTCGGAAGGCCTTAGTCGAGACTGCCACCCAAAAGTCAACAAATTAGAAAATTAACGTATCGCAAGTAGTCGCATATAGTGCCGGTCGAATGCCGTAGGTTGGACAAGACATCACACCCCCTGGGCCGGCTTTCAAAGCTCAAAGCTCCATTTCTCGGCAGGAAAGGAGGAAGAGACGGCGCCGAGAATGGCCGTAGGCGTTGGAACAAACCGTCTCGTCAAGATCTTCCCGAAAACGCATCATTCGAACTCGGCACCCTCTTCGCCGTGGAGCAATCATCGAGCTTTGAAAATCAGTCCAGGGGGGTGTGGTATCTTACGTATCATGCAACCTTCTGTAGTGCCTGTACCGAGTATATTGCCGGTGCTTTCGGCGGGGAGAAGACTGAGCTACAAATTATTTATGTGGTATTGAGTGGTGCCTGTGTCCGGCATTGTGCCGATCAAAACCTTGGCACATACACCGGCAATACCTCGGGAGCTCTACTGCTGGACCATTGTTTGCTTTGCCTCTCGGACCTCCTTCCGAGGTGCTCCCCCTACTACTGGTGAGGCGGAGAGACAGCACCCGCCGTAGACCGATGTTCAAAATATTGATTGTGCCCAACACCAACAATGGCGGTTTTGGAAAACATCTCGTCGAGAGCTTTCTGTACAAGTTTTGGTATCTTCCTTCTCGCGCCCCCTGGGTTTTGAAGCAATCGAGGTTTGATAGCCGGTCTAGGCTGGGTGACACGTCTCAGCCTCTTGCGGTGATAGTTTCTTATCGCCAGAAGGCGCCAGCCGTCTCTTTCCCTCATCCCTCCACACACATGCACCTACCCGCATGCTTCTTGTGTTTTCGTCCCGAGTCTTCGCTGGCTGCGACTCTGTACCTTGCGGTAAACATTTTGGCACTTGGCACACCAGTCGAGGGTCAGTCACACAGGAGAAAAGGAAAAACATTGTTTTTTTCTGTTTGCCTCCATATTTGCCGGCGCCGTGCCTGCCTCCAGTACATGTCATTCTCCAGCAGCGCTTACGACGTGGTCGAAAGCGGTGGCCTCCATGTCGGAATATGATTTTTCTCGGAACTTTCCTTGGGTAGGGGCAGCAGCTCGTTCACAGCAACCGAGCCTTATTTCTCGCGCCGCCGCTGCATAGGCTTTGCACGTAGCAGTGACATAACCCTTACCGCCTCCAGCGCCGCCGCTCAGGCGTAACACGCAAGGCAAGCTAGCGTTTGACCTGTCGCGCGCCGAGGCTTAGGAATTCTATTAATACCTATAGAGCAACCTAGTTTCACCTTTCACCATGTTGGCGCCGCGGCATGGGCTCACACGCAAGGCAACCTAGCTCTTACCAACTTTTATGTAAGCTTTGGGTCTGGTGTTTGGGTTGGGGACAGGGAAGAAGCAAGGGCAATGCTTTACTGTAGTCTCGGGAACGGTGCCGAGACAACCAACAGCAGCCCGGGTTCGAACCAGGAACCTGTAGTTTCGAAAGGAAGCTTAAGCTCCGCATCTTCACACCGGGGTAAATATCTCATCCGTCGAGGTAACCACCTCCTCCGGCCCCCCACCTACAACAGCACCTCATCAGAGGTTCCTCGGGATGTACTTGTCAAAAGAGAATACTGGAACTCTGGAGGTTGTACACAGGAAGTCTCCAAAAAGATTTTTGTCAAGCATTGCTTTCGACCAAGTGCCAAGCAACGGTCAGAAATGGTTCAGCACTTGCTTCCCTTCCCTCATGCGGGGTGTATTCACGACTGACTCGAGAGGGGCACCACTTACTGACTCTCTGCGCGCCTTTTGATTTTTGATGCCCAAGTTGCGGGGTATTTCAATCGAGAGGGAGATTCAACCAAAGGAGCAGACGAGCTCAAGACGACACCGAGTGTACCAAGGGGAGAGAGAGTGACACACTCAGAGAGAGAGATAATACATTCACGGTAGCACAGCAGCACGATAACTTAAGTTAGTGTCGCATGATGTGTGACCACGGGTTGGAGCTCCGACCTGCAGGGCAGAAACGTTCACAGCGCTCATGAAAAAAAACAAACTATATAGCGCAGACATCGCACAGGGACCTCAATAAAGCACGACATGTTGTGACCGGTGCTTCAGGGAGGGTAACCGTATGTACAGGCCTGCGTCCATCTAGTGTGTCGGCGTACTGGCGTACACTGCCACACAGCTCCTCGATTTGCACACACAGCAGTCAAAGGAGTGTTCCAAAGCGGGTTTTCTTTTCACTCATCGCAGGTCCTACTTACAGTCGAACCTCGCTTAAGTTAACGAAAATTAAGTTAACTCCCCCGGTAAAGTTCACAATTTCTTTCGGAAACATGGTGCCCCGCAGAAAGTATTACATACAGGGGGGGTAAAAATACAGTCCACGGACCCCCTCAAAACCAGCAGCAGCAGCGCTCTCACTGCTCTGTAGACCGCCAATAAGAGGTCTGCTGCTGCACCTGCTGTTTGTGGGTATGGAGAGTTTCCTTCCATCCAGCGGTGCATCGTCTGCGCCTGGCAAAAAACGATGCGAGGAACCTACATGCACGGTACCGGACTCCACGGACGATGAAGATGGTGGGGGTAGACCAGAGTCGTGCGTAACATCTTCGATGACAGAGGCCGAAGTTCGCGGTAGCCTAGAGAAGGTTCGCTCCTACTTGTACGCGAACGGAAAGGATGGGGAGTGCCGCGAGACCCAGTACCTGCTCTCGAAGGTTGTGCATTCGTTCACTCACGAAACTCAAGTGAAGCGGCGAGCCAAGGAGGGGGGGGAGCTGCAGGCAACTCTGCGCGACATGTGGAGGTCGTAGAGTGTGCGGTACAAACGACCAGAGCTGTGTTTGGGGTGGCCTATGTATGTCTTGAATGCGTGGGACCGCATGAGACTACTACATAGGAGTGGCTGTACATTGCGATCGACGACAGTTTTGAGAAATGTGTGCGGGGATTCAAGCGTTCCAACATAGCATCTTGGTTATAGTGTTGTTTAGTAAAATGGACATCAAAATATGCTCCCTCTCACTTTTTTCAGTCTCCTCTCTCGTCAAACACGTAGTGGAGCCCAATGCGCGTCTATTGAGGTATTCACCGCCTCTATTGGCCCCGGGGATGGTGAGTTGTNGTTGATACAACAGCAGTAGGATTATGCTACGGATGGCCGCGACATGGGTTCAAGCGTTAAAGCGCAGTGGGGATCTTAACCGAGCCAGCAAATGGTGCTCGAATTCTAAGATTTTGAGTTTTTGGAGGCTACATCAATTTCCTGGCTGGCAGTTCCTTGCTAGAGGCGTGCGCTACCACTACTTGGCGGGACAGCGGTTCGAAGAATCGTAGAATCGGGCCGTTAAATTTTCGTAGATTTGGATTCTTGTATAGGGAATGTGTGACGTAAACTCCTGCGACCTTGCGGCCTACACGCACAGGACACCGCATGGCAAGCTACAGGGTTTCCATCACGCGTCTAGACAATGCATTCGCATGACTACCATGCATGGTCTATGCAATCATCAACCGCAAGATAGAATGTGGTACGTGTACGTGTGAGTACAAACAACGGCGCACGAACCTCCTCCTGCTCTTGACTCCAGCCAGCGGATCCATCGCTAAGCTTAGCAGAGACGACGATCCCGCCAGCGGACCGATTCCGGTGCCTCGCGCCGGTGCTGGTAAGCACCACCACCATCGCGGTCATCGGGTTGCTTCTGCTGCGCTCGAGTAGCAACACCATCCACCCGAGAACTATGTTCCTCGCCATCTTCCCCATCGCTCAAACCACAGCAGCCCCTTTCACCAACAACCCAGACGCGGGTGCTCGCCTGTCACCTTGAAGACAGCAGGGTCCACCCACGGGCAAGGTCACTTTCGCAGCTAGCATCCCCGTTGCCTTGCTACGTCTGGGGTGTGTTGGTCTGTTGTCAGGCACGCCCCTGCTGTCGTGTTCGGTTTGTCACGCCATCGGGGGCACCGTGAATGTAGCATGGGGGCGCCGGGAATGCACGCTTATACATGAGTTCAAGGTCTTCAAGGCTGGACCGTGTAAGGGTTGCGAGTGCTGCACTGCTGTTCGAGATAGGCGTCCCCGCATCAACACCGTCGCAGTCAGCGGCCGGTCGACAAGAGCCCAGGGTACACCGCACCAGACGACCCGCCACGTCGCTCTTGGATGAGAGGGATAGCACCGGCGGTCCTATTGCTGTTACACGGTGTTGCAGGGTTTGTCCCGCCGAATCCTAGCTGCACTTCATCGGCGCCTGCTGCGGCACCCAAGGGCAGCAGCAGCAGCAGCAGCAGCAGCGACAACATTAAGCGATCATCCTCGCCCTTGCGAGGAGCAGATAGTATCATGGCATCATCGTCAGGTGGCGCCGCGGCCGACCTTGAGATTAAGAGTGAGACCGCGTGCTTCGGGGGCAGGTTGCTCAAGTGCGTGCACCAGTCGAAGGCCACCAAGACTCCGATGACCTTCACCGTGTTTCTCCCACCCGCGGCGGCATCCAGCGCTGTGCCGGTCTGTATGCATATCTACTGCTGTTAATGCATGATACATGTGGTCTACAACAAAGATCTTGGCACAATCGATGTTTGCTACTGCTGCTGTTGCGGACCTGTACGTACATGTATACGCATGCTGCTGCGGACCACTATATACGAGTGGGGAACGAGTTTTTTCTCGCTAAATTTAATCCTGGTCTCCGTTGGAAGCGATGAGCTGCAAAGCTCGTTGTTAGTAAACTTGATCGACTTCTTAAGTCGCGAGGGAAGGGATTGCTGTACCCTTCTCGCGACAAAAATATCTCAGGCAGGAACCGCAGGAGGGGGTCCAACCCCCCCCTCCTATGTGATCCCGGTTGGGTCGTCTAGCTGGTAGAAGTGGAGGATAGGGGCCAGAGGGGCAGAAGACAGAGTCCAATGATGGGGGG